TGCGATAATGGAATCTTCACCATAAAAAGGGAAGGTTAACTTGAGTTTCCCACCTTAAGAATCCTTAGGGTTATAAGATTTGTTCATCACCCTTGCATGAGAGGGATGATTAGTGTTAACCTAAATGGGTTAGAATGATTGTATGAGCATATACCCTATCATAAATAATACATTTGATTTCCATCTTTCTTCTTATTTCTCTCAAATCTTTAAACGGTGGTTCTTGGTGGTTTTTTGGTTTCACGACGTCGTTTCCAACTTTTTCTTCTTGAAGTCTTGCCACCTCCTTTCTTTTTTTTTTTTTGAACGGTGCGTTTTGAAGGTCTCCGAACCTGCCGCTTGGAAGCCAGTCTTCTTGTTTCGTCGTCGCTCAATTTCCAATCCCCGACGTAGTTGAAGTCTGTGATCTTTTACCACTCAATTTTTGGTGGATCCCAGATCTTGAAGCTCTGTTCTTGAATCCCCACCATTTATGTTCACGAGCCTGACCGAAATCTTGCAGAAACGTTGCGTTCTGTGTAGAAAATCGCCTTATTGATCTCTACGTTGTGCGATTCTGGTCTCCTGATGATGCGCCTCTCATACCAGATGGTGTTTGAGCTTTCTTGTTGCTTTCCACCATCTTGTTACAATTTCTTGCAACCCCGTCATGTCCTTCCTCAACTGCGCCGATCTTTGCTTGGTCTTACTTCCACCACGACAGGGGTGACTCTCAACTGTGGCTACAGAGACGACAAGATGAGAGCCTTTAAATGTCCATCTCAGACGATAAGTTTATGCATATATAGACGATTATGGGTTGGATCGTGGGAACAAGGCCATGAATGGTGCAAGTCCGTTAAAATAGTCATGCCCACTTAATTCTTAGAGCGATTCTTGCACAAAAGGTGTCTTAGAAATTTGCTGTGCATGTGTTAGTCACAGCTTTGCTTCATTCTTCATGCCAAATGCCTATTTTATCTACTTAGAATATGAAGATTTTCTGGGTTTCTTTAATTGTCTGGTTACCTGATGCAAGCTTGTAGATATGGACATTGGGTAGCTATACAAACCATTGTCTGTCCTTTCTCTAGTTAAAGGTTGCAGGTCATTAATAAAAAAAAAAAAGGAGGGTTCCATGAGCAGTGAAGATCACTTGAAGAGATGAAGGAGAATGGTCCACGGCCCATAGCATAATCTATGCAACTTCAACCATGAATCCGTTAACAATGGGTGCTGCTGCTTCTACCATTCATGTCAAGTGCAAAAGATGGATTCAGCCGTGCTAGTTTTGAGACAGCAAGGTATGATCAGAAAGTCTTGTAACATATGGATTTTTTTTTCAGAACGTAGAGTTTTGTTTGCTGGATTTAAATGGCTACAGTCACAAAGAGGAGTGTTGTGAAGATATCATGAGTAGATGAATGTGTGAAGAGGAAGTTCATGAAGCCAAGTTGAAGAAAATGATACTGACACAATTACCATCATTACGTTAAAGGATATGGCCAAAGCTATTTCACTCATGGTGGAATTGCATATTAGTGAAAGTCAAAGAGGAAGATGTCTCCATACAAATTTTATTCACAAAGTTTAAAATCATTGTAGTTTTAATTCTCTTGGGCTCCCAATTTGTGTTGTCAAGTTGATCACTTTAGTTAAGAGGTGTTCAACTTGAGGGGGCATGTTAAGAGAGGGTAAAAATATCATTAAATAATTGAGTTAGATTCTATAAATAGGGTTTTAGTACATGGATTAAGGGTGTGTGACAATGTAATATTTACCATAAAAGGAGGAAGTTAACTTGGGTCTCCCACTTTAAGGATCCTTATAGGTTTTGAGGTTTGTTTATCACCCTTGTATGAGGGATGATTAGTGTTAACCCAAATGGGTTACAATGATTGTATGAGCATTTGTTCTATCATAAATAATACATTTGATTTCTATCTTTCTTCTTATTTCTCTCAAATCTCTAAAGTTAACAGTTTTCTTTGCTACTTTAGAGAGATAGTTGATCTAAACCGTTAATGTGATTAAATCGTAGTCATCCATTTCAATACTCTTAAAACACCTTCAAGACCCCTCAAATGCTTCCATCTTCTTCAACTTTTTGGCATAGCTTGATGGGCAATATTCTGAGAGGCATGATATGATTTGAAAAAAACTCATTTTTTCATAAAATATTATCTTTTAGATTTTTTCATAGCTAAAATTACAAAAATCTCCGTTAGATGAATTTTTGAGATGTAAATTTCTCCCATTTAAAATGGATATTTTTTCCTTATATATGTACTACCTCTGGTCCTAATTATAAGATTTCATAGAAGATATAACATTGTACTTGTTTAATGTTGTAAAAGATGTAACTATTATATTTATATAATTACTACTACTTTCAGTCCTCAGCATATACAAAACTCAATTGACTAATTTGGAAATATTAAAAAAGTTAAATAAATCATTTCAAAGTATGATATTTATCGTTTTTTTTTCAAAATAATTTGTTTGACTTATAAATTGGTATATAATGATACATATGTATTTTAGAAAGATAATGTAACATATGTTATAATTAAGTAATTTTTTAGTCTTCTTAACTTTTTTAAATTAGTCAATTAAATTTTATATTAAGAATCAAAAATGTAATACTACTAATTATAAAAAATAAAAGTGTTTTGTTAGAATACATCATGACTTCCTCGTTGTTGGCGTTATGGTTGTTCTTCATTTTTGTTGCTTTTGCCTGCAAATTGTTTTTAGTTTCTAAATGTAAATTGCTCTTAGCTTCCGTGTATGTTCGCTTGCACTAACAAAGATCTTTTGCAATAAAAAAAATTCCAGGCGACACATATTTTGTTTTTGGGACAATGACAAAAAAAAAACTGAAATTTTATAAATGCCAAGTAAGGAATATCAACAAAAATTTATTATTATTTATAAATTCAGACTTGTTAATACTAAATAAAGTTGTGTTACCAAACCTGATTTGGGATTTTACAATTTTCAGCTTCTTTTTCTATTATTTTTCTTTTGTTTTTTGCTGTTAGAAGTCAATATTTTTTGTTGATTGTTTCTGTTTAAGTTTAGCCATGATTTTTTTAATTAGTTTTAAAAAAAATAAATATAATAATTTATTTAATTTTTTAATCTCTCCTAATTAATCAATTAACTAGGTTTTATATTGAGGAATGAAGGTACTAGTAATTATGTAAATACAACAAATAATCTTTTACAACTTTAAACAAAGGCAATATAATATCTTCTATGAACTTCATAAGAAAAAAATCTATTTTAATTAAATGGGATAAATTATCTTAAAAAAGAAGAATCCAAAAAATACGTTTAAATTTCAATATTTCAAATGAGTTTTATTTACTAAATTGTATTAGCAATTGATAATAGGGAAAATCCCAGATAAAGCCCTTCGAATATATAATTTCAGATTGGGTCTCGGAATTATGTAAATGACAGAAAGGGTTAATGACCCAATCTGTCATTTTTAAAATTAAGAGCAATTGACAATTTTGTCTTGATTGAGTAAAAGTGAGTAGTTATTCTCTAAACGAATCTAGGTAATGCTTATACTGTTCTAGTGATTATATGATTAGTTGTAATTAATAACAAGGTATCTGCTCATGGGGCATTCCTGACTACAAAAAAATGAATAGTTATTCTCTACACGAATCTAGGTAACGCCTAAACCCTTATAATGATTCCTTAAATTATTGTAATGAATGAATACAAATGAAAGTAAAAGTGAGTAGTTATTCTCTAAACAAATCTAGGTAATGCTTATACTGTTATAGTGATTACATGAATCTAGGTAACACCTAAATCCTTATAGTAAGTCCTTAAATTATTGTAGTGGATGAATATAAATGAGGATAAAATTGTCAATTGCTCTTAATTTTAGAAATGATAGATTGAGTCATTGACCCTTTCTGTCATTTGGACAATTCCAGGACCCAATATGAAATTATGTATATTCAAATGGCTTTATTTGAAATTTTCCCTTGATAATATTGGAAAAGCAAATAACAATATATTTTTTTATTCCTTTCTGATTTAAAATTTTAAAATTTTAAAGGTATTTTTTGAGATTTTTTCTCTTAAAAATTTCTATAATAAATATTTTTGCTTATGAAAAAGTCCAAAAGATATCATTTTTTTTTAAATGAAAAATGAGTTTTTTAATTCATATCTTGCGTCTCAGAATATTTCCTACCAAGCTATGCCAACAAGTCGCAGAAAATCACATCAACGGTTCAGAGAGAATGGGATACTGAAAGAATGGGATTCTGAGGGGATCTGCTCCGAGCTAGCCACACCCTCTGCGACCCTACCCATCTCACTCTCCACTCTTCAAATCTTGTCTGGAGCTTTTCCGTCTTCCTTCGTTCATGATCGTCATCACCGTTGCTCGTACTTGAAGCTCGAAAAGGCGCCGTTTTGCCTCTTTTCCGTCGCCGCCGTGCCTCTTTTCCGTTGCAGTTGGTGCCATTGTTCTTCTTTTCCTTCTCCTTAGATGTATTGGATTGTGTGGTAACTGGTAAGCTTGAGATTCCTCTCCCTCTCTACCAAATCCTTGTGTGTTTGGGTTGAGAAGCTTGAATCATTCTTCCTTCTGCGACTCTGTGAGTGAGGGGCTGGATTTGTTTGAGTGTATCTCTATTCATGAAATTGCTGTTTGCTCCAAGCCCTGTGACTCCGATAGGTTATTTGATGAAAGTGTCGTGTGTTTGATCTGGTTGATTCCGGTCCTTCCCATTTTTTCTTTTAATTTTGTTAGGGTTAGGGTTAGGGTTAGAGTTAGATCTTTTAAATGAAACCGGTCCTACCCAATTTTTCTTTTAATTTGGTTGGCTCCACGTTGTTTGATCATTTTCTTATTTATTTTAATAAATCTGATTTCATTCTTACTTTACGGTTTGCTTTTTATTCTTGTTACTACTATATTAGAATGCTTATCCGCTTTTGCTTCTGTTTGTTGCTATATGTCCAATATGAATCAGGGGCATCCAGAATGCCATGAGGAGCAGATGGTGGGATCTCTACTGTGATTTCTTTGATTAAATTAGGTACATTCTACTCTCTGCAGATGTTTTAAAAAATTATTACTGGTTTTCAATTAAAATCAATAAATCTTACTTAACTTTGATTTGGCTTTTACATAATTCTTCCCTACATCACAATTGTATACGTTTCCTAAAAAAGAGTTAAGGAGAGGGGAAAGGGGGTTATGCGTTTTGTTTGGTCTAAGGGAACCAAGGGATGCGAGGGGACGGGTGAGAGGGGAGAGAGGAGCGGAGCTATTTGCTTATCTTTTTATTTCAATTTGTTTGTTATTTATTACAGTATTTATTCTCGCTTTGCTCTTTCCCTCTCCCTCCATTCTCCCTTTGCTCTCTCACTCTAGCGTGCTTTTCCATCATAAACATCCACATTATAATCGATGATAGGAATTAGAGAAGAGATTAAGGATAAATGAATTTAGGCTAGAAGGTACAATTGTTTATAAATAATTGTAATTTGAGGCAAATTTAAAATATTAAATTACTTTTAACCACTTTTTAAAAATTTACAAGATAAAAGATATCTTAGATAAGAGATACATTCATGTATGAGATAGTAATTTTTTTAAAATAATTTTTAAACAGGAAATTGATTTTATTTATGTTCTCATTTATTTAAGACAAAAATTTAAAATATGATTTTGAAATAATAAAATATATACTGTTCTAATTAAATATGATTGGTTAAGATGAAAGTTACTCCCTCCGTTCCTTATTATAAGAGACGAATAACCGAATTACGTTGATCAAGAAAACAGTTAAAATTAGTTAAGAACAATTAATATGTAAAAAGTATAATTTTTTTTCCAAAAATGCCCTCATTAATAAGGAAAGAGAGCATGAAAGAGAACAATAGTAAATTCTTAAAAGAAAGAGAAGTGGGAAGGAGAGAGAGTGTGAGTTGGAGACAATAAATATGGGTAAAATAGGAAATGAACACAAAAAAGTAGAGACAACTTTTAAGTGTCTCTTATATTTAGGAACATGCTATAAGCATCAAATGTCTCTTATAATAAGGAACGGAGGGAGTACATAGTAATTCAAGTGAGATAGAATTTAATGTAAATTTTTATCTTCTTTTGTTTTGATTGAAGCAAGAAAATTGTAATCTTAAATAATATCATAATAAAAATGTGATTTAATTTTATAAAGTATTTTTTATTTCTTTAATCCTATTTTCTTAACAAAAAGTGTTGACATTAAAATTTTAAATATTAACAGTCCTAAGTGGATAATCTAAATTGCATGTAAATAAGATAGTTAACTCACGCACCAAGCGCACATTCTCAAATTAGGGTCCAGAGTTAAACGGGGGGGGGGGGGGGGAATAAAAAAAGAAAGTTAATTGCCCTTGTGAGTTGGTGGGGACACTCTTCTAATCTAAGGTTTATGAGCTAGGGTGAAGATAAAGTTAAATTATGTTCTGCATTTGTTGAAGCACTTAATTCATCTCACTTGAGATAATGGCAAGAGTTATGAAAGTTTTTAAATTAGTGACTTTCAGTGAAGGTTTTCAAGGGCAACAAAAGTTGCTGCCAAATCGTTGTCATAGTGAACTTTTAATCGTTGGCTGAAATTTAGAACATTTAATCCCAAATCTTTTGTTTATACGCACATTGAATATATAAAGAGAAAAAAATTGCATCATTGAAGTTCTACAATAATTGGCATGCAATTTATGAGAAAAGAAGATTTCCGAAATTGAAGAAATTCTCAGTACCAAAACAATAAGAGAGATCGAAGAACAACAGACGAATGTTGTGATAGAACTCTGCAATGTTCTGTTCTGGTTATGCTTCACCTGCAACTAATTTGGGACACGTATTTTGTGGCTTCATTTTTCTTTGAGCAGTGAACGCTATCTCTCACTTTGTGAGTGATTCTGCATAGTTGTGAATTGGTGGTGGAAATTGGTCAGTATAGAGATGATGATGTCAGGTGGGGGAGGAGGAAGATCTTCTTCAACATCTTCAACGTCCTCATGGGCACCTGCAACTTCTTTCTCTGCATCGGGAAAGAGGATTCAGAGAGAAATGGTAGAGCTCAACAATGATCCCCCTCCTGATTGTTCTGCTGGACCAAAGGGTGACAATCTCTACCATTGGGTCGCAACTATAATTGGCCCTGAAGGTCTTAACATTTGCTCCTTATCTTTAGATTGAATATGTGTTTAAAGTTCTTTGTTAGCTGTCTTCTTTTCCGCCTTTTTCATAGCTCTCTTGAAATATGAACATAGGGTTGTGGATGTTGGTTCCAATAGAATACGGTATGTGTCAGATTGTGATGGTTACTTCCACTAGATCGTTGCTAAATATTATAATGATTCAAGTTAATCAAGTTTACTGGAAGGTAGGGAATTTAATATCCAAATAAATTGAGAAATTAGAAGGTCGACTTCTAAATAAACTGTGACAATATCCCAAGAGAGAGTTATCTTTTGGTTTGTTATGAAACTATATGCCAAACATGTGATCAGGGTTGCTTATGCCTGCCAGACCGAAATTTTAACATGTTGAGCGAAGTTTGGTCTACCAACAAGGCCTGCATTCTTTTTAATGAAATTCAAAGCGTTTTAGTGATATGTGAACGTAGGTTATCTACATGTTGCATTGGCATGAGAAGGCAATCTTGATAAACTTTCCTTTTGTTCCGTGTAGGGACACCTTATGAGGGTGGCATATTTTTCCTTGACATAATATTTCCAAGTGAATATCCCTTTAAGCCTCCGCAGGTATATTAAGCAACATTGTTCTTTGTCAAGTAGTTCTGTTTAGTTATAATTGCTTTTTGCAGAATTGGAGTAATCTTATTATTTGGCCGGGTGAGGTTAGAGATAAAAGAGGAGTACTTCATGAGTCATGACTAGAGAAAGGGAATATATTGTATTTTTATAACTGTTTCAGATTGCATTGAACATGTCAATCTATTTCTCTTGTGTCGTTTTATTTTTCTTAAAATTTTTTTACTTATTCTTTCGGCTGAGGCAATAATTTCAAAATTTAGATTACTGAATTATTTTATTTATTTTAGCCTTTCTAAACTTTCAACTTACCATAAGATGGAGGAGATTGAAGGTCAAGGGAAGAGAAGAGAAATTTAATCATTGATTTATTTACTTCTTTCAAAGTATGCTTGGATTGAGGAGATAAAATGCAAACACTGTTCATTCTAATTTAAACCAAGAAGAAAAATGAAAAATGAAGAAGTAAGGAAGATAAAAAAAACCGTCCCCTTCTTTTCTCATCCGTCCTCAATCCAAACATGTGTAATATATGCCAAATTGTGCAACAAATGTGAATCAAAGGGAGAATCTAGATGAATGAGGGCACATAAGTTTTACCTTTTGGCTCTATACGGTGGAACTTTTACTGCCTGGCTTATGGGCTTTTTTTTTTTTTGGGGGTTCTATTTTGTAATGTAAGTTGGTTGAGTTTGGATTACTGAATGTTGAATGGTAACTTGTTAGTGGTCTCTCAAGTCTGGAATGTTGAGTGATAACTTGTTAGTGGTCTCTCAAGTTTGGTTTATTTGTTTGGCTTTGTTCCTCAAACAAGCAATCTTGGCTTGCAGGTCGTATGCAAGACTCGCATTTACCATTGCAATATAGACACTACTGGCCGAGTTAGTTTGGGTATATTGAAGGATGGTTGGAGTCCTACACTAACTATTACTAAAGTGCTACTTGCAGTTAGATCGATTTTGATAAATCCTGACCCTTGTAAGTCATCCTGGTTCCTTCTGAATCAATTTGACGAATTAATGGGACGTCTTAATTTTCTAAAAATAGAAGTTGAGATAATGCTGCACATTGTGTATTGCGACTCAACTGGATTGATGCTTTTTGTTTCAAGTCTTTAGTTTGAGTCAAGTAGATTTCCAGAGTCAAATATGTGTTAGTATTGGTGATGCCAAGGCCTATAATAACTTTTATACTGAGAATCTATGTCTGTCTTTGGAGTGAAGTAGTAAGATGTTATTGGTATTGCAGATAATGCGGTTGTCCCTGGTGTTGCCCACCTCTATTTGGGAGATAAAGCAAAGCATGATGATATTGCTGTAGGGTGGACGCTTCGATTTGCAAAATGAATGTTGTATTGTCTTATCCCATACATTAGTGTGCAATAACTGTGATCACATCATCACCTGTTACTATCACAAGCTTTGTCACAAGTCGTGTCTTGAGTGCACAATATTGCACTTGGTACAAGCGACAACGACACCAAACAGTGCATATTGTCGGGTAGAAAGTTTCAGTCAGCTTCAGGTTTTATTAGTCTGCATATGATTGTATTATTTCAGTCAATACATCTATCAGCTTCGCTATTTTAATACCTAGTTCTAGTTAAAATGTGATGTCTTGCTTCGATTGTAAACTTCCACTGCTTCACACGCCTTTTTCCCCTTGAAAGAACATATAAAAACAGGTAGTGCAGTAAATGGTCATGGCCGCAACATGTGAGTCGCTATGATTTATGGGGAAGATCAACAGCGGGCAAGTTGCAATGATGATGATTTTGAATGGGCATAAGACTCGTAGTGTAAAACAATACGGACTACAATCTCTGGTGCTAGCATTAAGAGGCAGCCCATTTAGGGATAAAGTAAAACGCATGTCCGTATGTAGTCATTGTAAACAATAACTGATTGAAGATGTGTTTCAAACTCTTGTTCAATATTAGTGGTTGCAGGCTTAACAGGGGCGGGGCCTAAGGGAGAAAACATATAATATAATACAAATAAAAACATTCATATAGCGTCTAATATAATTAAATAATTTAATACATTTTTTAATTTTTTAAATTAATCAATTGAGTTTTATATTGAAAACTGGAAGTAGCATATAAAGTATTGATGAATATGATAAGAGCCAATCTGGCATGCACCTTGTGTACAACTCTCAAATTTAGTTGTCAAGAATAAAACAAAACGAAGGGCAACTATATTCTATGTAGTTGAAAAACTACCAAAAATGGCATATCTCAAATTGCAAGACAAGTTATCATACCATGGGGGGGGGGGGAACAAAGGTTCCTGTATCTGCAATTTTTAGGAACAAATAAATGAATAATAAATATTTAAAATACAAGAATATATCTAGAACCCATAAAAAAATTGCGACCAAACCTCTCAACTATGAATGGTACAATTCAGGTCATACTTCTTGCAAAATCCCAACACAACTCAGTTGTCTATTAAATGCGACCAAATCAATCAATATATCAACTTATAGTAGATTTTATTACACTGTTACTTCATATGATCAATTTCGTTACCTTTAGTCTTTGGTCATTTCCTCTTGATCTCTCTTTTTGGGTCATTAATATTAAAAATAAACAGAAGTATTCAAACTCAATCCAGAGTTGCTCTATACAAGAATCAAACTAGATCTAGTTGATTTTCTATGTTAATCTCTTAATATACAAATCAAAATCCCACAAATCACACCCACCAATGAGTAATTTTATGTCCCGGCCAAACGAAAGGCCATAATAATAATCATCATCATCATATGTTAGTTCAAGACTTTGCACCTTTTGGCATGATAATCACAGCCAGCATACACCTCTAAGCCTGTTTGGCTCAGTTGATTTTCTTCAAAGCAGGCACAACGTTTACTCATTTTTCCAGTCAAAGCAATCTCAAGAGGCCTCTGAACAAGCCTCGGGAAGCCGGCATCACACCATACCTGATCACAGGTGCAATCTGTGTTATACAAGTGAGTAGATTCAAGTATACTTTCTTCTAAACATGAATGGGATGTATAATGAAGTATCAATTTACATTAGCCAATGACGATTCATGTCATAATAATATGACTTATCACACAAACCAACGTTTCATATGTTTGCATACAATTACAGGATGGCTGGATAAACCACAAAAATTATCTACCAGAGAATGTTTAATACCGAATTTCTAGTGAAAAAAAAACAGATCATTGGGTTTGTCATGTTTGAAAAGATTTCAATTACAAGCGTGAGCAAGTATTTAAAGAAACTAATGATTTCTAGTAAGATCAATTAGATTTCACTACAAAACAAACAAGTCATTTAATAATTAAAGCAACTATTAGATGCATTCAGAGACTTCCAGCAAGTTGAATATTCTCAGCACCTTTTCACTCAATTCACTTCTGATCGGTACAAACAAACACCATCAAAACATTTTCAAAGCTCAGATTAATTATTTCCAATACGGAATTGGGATCCAAAACTCTCTAAGAAAATATAATACATATTCCGACAATCCTTTTTGTAAAAGTGGCGACAGGATTTTAAATGTTTATACAACTTAATCGTGGCTGGGCACAACTCAGCATAATTGGCTGCTACCATATGGAATTTCTAGTTCATTCTTATAGTATTAATGCAAAAATACATGAAACCAAATTATGGCTAATATCTAATAATGCCACTACAGCTGAAAAAGTCAGAATTACTTAGCGGCTTATAATTAAAAATGAAATAAAATTAATAAACTATGATATTGCTTCTGGACTCCTTTTCAAAGCAGAGAGATATAGGCAGTAACGAAATATGTAAAGTACCTCTCCACCCTCATCTTGACTCCATCTTGAATTACAACTAGGTTGTTTAGACTCTTCGATCTTCTGCTTTTCCAAAAGTTGTGCGCCTCTAGCAGCCTTTGCTTCAACACCTTTCAAATATTTAGTAGGATGCCCTTGGCTATCATAGTATCGACCAACAACCTTACCAACATACCTACAAAACAGGCCCCAAAAAAAAAAGTGAGTGTATGATATTGTTATAAATCATGAACATTAAATACTGCGTTTAATTGTGGTTTTACTGATTCTATGAGCCACAGGGGCTTAATAATAATGGTTTGTTAAGTCTATAAGGCCTTAAGCGTAGTTAGGTAAATAGCTAGGGTGATTAGAGTTATGTTACGATGGCTGTCTATATATAACAGGGGCAATCTATTGTTATTGTTGTTGATTGTTGATGAATGAAATATTCAGTGTGAATTTTCTTCCTTCTCTTCTCGCTGATTCTTCCTCTCTTCTCTCTTCTCCCCCCTACCTCTCTCCTAATCGCTGAAATCTCTACGATACCTCATCAGATATATTTAATTTGCTTAAGCGAAGATAAGTTAGCAGAAAGCGAAAACATATCAATGTCAATTTAAAGAAAACTTCAAGATGAACACGAGACTAAATCATACTATAAATACAAGAAAAGCTTGAAATGGCCATAAAAGCCTTGCTATAATGGATGTAATCTTAATAAATTTCATTAGCAACTTCAACAATAGCTGATTGTAGAAAATATGACTCACTTGTAGGTTTTAAAGTAGAAGTTCCTCCATTCAACAATGCTCTTCACCTGTATGCACGGTATAATTAAATCATACAAATGAACTACCGAATCATCGCATGAATGCCAATGCATGTCTAAATGTGGATTCCAGAACCGAGACAAAAAATAGGTCTTATTTGGAGCGCCATAGGGAATAATCCATAAATGATAGTATAAAAAGCACTAAATAGAAGTAAGGCAAGAACTTTTTGTTCACACATCTAATAGCTTAAACCTATGACAAAGTCGTCACTGACAGCATTAGATCTCCTATTCAGGAATTTAATATTTGTCATCCCCTATTCACTTAATTAAAATCAACTTTCAGCAGTAGATTTGGAATGCACAAGCTATTTCTACACATCAAACCCAAGGGGTTTTGGCATAACAAAATAAATTAGAGATAATAATTGGCAGCATATAGCATAAGTTTGCCTTTCTTCTTTGTTTAGTTAAACTACAGAAGCGCAACAATTGTTTTATCTATAGGTATGCAATCTTTCCTCTATTATATATTTATATATAACACAAGTCTCCCTTAGTATCGAGGCTTCACACATCATTTGCTCTATTTGCTTTATTCTTTAAAGCAACAAAAAGGGGAAATTCCATATACTTGCCCTCGTCTTTGCCTTCAATTGCAAAGTCCGCCTAACTTATAAAAGTTGTAATTTACACCCTAATCCGTCAAAACCCATTGCAGTAACCTTCCACCATCTGAGTTGGATGTTAAATCTAACTTTGTTTCACTTATACAATCTCATCTTTGCCTTTGACTACAATGTCCCCCCAACCCAAAACAGAAGGTAACATATATAAATAACACCCCAATTTTCAATTATAGACATATTTGACCCCATAACTTCCTTATTTTCCATCTTACCTCTGTTCCTCCTTCGACTATGGGTAAGAATAGGTAGTGGAATCCTATCAAATTATATCTAGCAAGAACTCACATCAAAACTATGGAGAAAAACAAGAAATTGCCAATAGAAACCCTGTAAGTTAATGATGGACCGCCATGACGAGAGGATCATGTTTAGTAAGATGCATAAAAAGGGGGAAAATACTTTTTGCTGGGCAGAAGCTTGACTTGCTATTCTGAAGAAAGAAATAGAGAGTAGGGTAGCTATAGGATAGCTGTAGTCAAAGTCTATGAGTTGGGGCTCGTGAAACTCACTTTTGGGGTCCATAAATCGTTTCTTTTGGGTTCAGGAGGAGGTGTGGAGAAATTGAATTGTGGTCTTGGCCTTTTGGGTGGAGAGAGCCAACCTCTCAAAAGTTTGGCAAGTCTGTCAGTCGATTGTGTTGTATCTTGTTCTGTTTGTGTATCTTGTTCTATTCCTTGTTAGTTTGTAATCGTCACTTCTATTGTAGCTTATATAGCTTATGTATCAGTACGGCAAAGTCACCTATTCCCTGGTTATTCAGTAAAACCACTATCAATCTCAGGTGTTCCCTTGTTTATTTTTTACTCTTGGTCTTGTGGTAAGTTTCTGCATAAGAGGATCCTATCACATGAGCACTAGCCTCAGCACCACCATCTCATCATACTCTCATGGACCACCAACTCAACCCTACCTACACCCTTGAAGCCATAGTTCCCCTGGTCACTAAAACAAGGCGCATGAAGGATTTGGCAGAATCACATCCCTAGCTAAGCACGAGGCATCAGCAAGGTTTTCAAGGTGAAAGAACAATAAGTACAAGGATGAAGCAACTAACACAAGCTCAAACTACTTTGAACCTAAATGTCACACTCTCTCAAACCATTCTATTAACATGTAAATCTGGTTTTATCCTTTATTTACACAACGATCCGACATGCATTGGTTGCATGGGTGTCCTCTTGAGCCACTGAAAAGTGTCAAGCAATCATAATAAAGAAAAATCACAAGTGTTAGAATAACCAACAATAAGATTCATGTGAACCACGGCCAAGTTAACAAGACATATTTTTAACAAACCTACACTTCAACAACATAAATTATTAGGAAATCTATAAACCATCAATAGCTACCTCAGTGCTAGATAAACCACGCAATGAGTCTGTGAGTCCCTCTCCTGAAGAAGCAAGTAGGCAAAGAATTAAGACAACTTTCAAAAGTGGGCAACGCGTTAGACATCTACAATGTTTTGGCAAAAGAAAAAAATTGCTTCTTGGTGCAGCAATGGTAAGTTCTATTTGCAAACACCACAGCAAAACCACAATAAAAGATAGTTGCAAAAGCATTTATAATGCTTTATGCACACCTTTCAAGGAGTGTTGACGTATAATATGTTCTTTGTTATTTAGCAGCAGTGATTTTCCTCCTTCATGTTATGATGTTTTCCTCATCTTAAAAATAAAAATGAAAATCAATAAATTCAAAAATGTAAATTCAGGAAAAGCCAAAGGGGAAAAAGATCACATCATACAAAACAAAATTTCCATTATTAAGAAGGTGAATCTAGAACAAGATACTAATATAAAAGCTGAGGAAAGAAACAGTCTTATTGCATTTAAATGCAACTTGTTATACGAAGTAACTATACTCTTTCAGGTAGTCAACACAACATAAGAAGAGTCATTCACGTTTCATGCTTCTGCTTAAATTCAAGAGTTGCATTATTCATTCATTCAAAAGATCAAATCAAACCAGCGCATCTAGTTATTTACCTGTGAAGTTCCCAGAGACAAATGCACGAGAAGCGTCCCTGAATTTATTGAAAATTTTGAAGGCAAAACTATCAGTACTTATTCAGCATGAAAACATACAGCTAAATAAGCATTAAACAAACTTAACATTGATTAAGTAATATTAAAATTTCCGTTGGAGTCTCATTGACTCTTGCTAAGCTTTTCTAATAACAATTCCTATTAAACTTAACAAGCTTCTTGTCATTGCTAGTTCAGTTTTTGGATTGACTTATTTTTTAAGAAAAAATGTAATTATTTACATCAGATAAGCAAGAACATGTACTTTAAGTTTTTAGGAGAGGATAACGACCATACCTTCCAGCAAAATGATTGTATCCGCCTCCTGAACCATAATGAGATTTTCCTTTTGTTACATCAAACACAGATCTATCCAAAATCGAAGATATAACATCATAGTCAACAAATAGGACTCAACAAATAGTCAACAGAATCAAACGACAGTCAGCTCTCAACAACACATCAATAAGCCAGGTCAGGAATCCCAACCTTACAATTAACCACCTATTCCCAACCAATCCTGTGTGCACGCACACGAAAAAGCAAACAGCAACAGTTAATGAAGAATCCTATATTTCGGCTCACCAATGCAAGTAGTTCCAGACAGACGTTGTTTATATTGATATCAGCACCCATTACTATCCCACAAACAACACAAAGAGGAAAATAGAAGAATACCCGATAATTCCTAGAAGGATTGGCAAACTCTCATCGGTTCCATTGTACAACGCAAGTTCTTCAGGACTGAACAATCTCTAGAAACACAGAGCACAGAGTCAAAATCATTGACTCAATCTACTGAGTGATAGAAAATGATTTCACTTAAATAGGTCAGAAATAATCAAGAAAATATAAACGACATTTTCGAATGACACCAGCATTGGAAAAAGAAGAAGGATTCCTTACCAACACTCTATTAGTAAACAAAGAATAATCAAAGATGCGGGAATTCTGCATACTAACCTGTCCAGAGTTGAATTTGAAGTGAAAAGTTAAAAAAGCAATAAGAGCAACGAAAACAGTAATCCCCAGAAAAGGGAACGTTGCCATCTTCCCCACCATGAAATCTACTTCTCCGAACAAATTCCTTGCAAAGTGCGCAATTTCATACACCAAAAGGCACAGCCTAGGCCCATATGTTATGAATATGATCGCGACAAAGTAGGCTGGCTACCAGGGCCTGTGAAAATGAGACAGAATGGATCTGTGAGACTGAAAATAAATTTTATGTCTAATCAATATAACTAATAAATCACAATAACAAGTAAGCCGGGCCAGTTACGAATCGGAGCTCCCCTTTGCCTTCATGGTTTATAGCAACAGTAATGGCTCAACAAACTGTGGCAGCCCACAATAGTGAACACAATTCTTGTTCAAGTGAATGAGTTGTGTGCCTTACTCAAGAGAACGCAGTACTTGTTGCACAATCACATCACATCACAAGCGGTTTCAAATTTTGAAATTTCATCGACCAGTTTCTCTTTCTTTCATTTTCTTTCATCTCAATTTTTCTTCATCTCTCTCTCTTTAAAGCAATGACTACTCATTTTCTCTCCCTTCCTTCTCACTTTTTTAACCGGAATCCCAATCTCTCGTCTTTGTATCCACCATCAAAAATGTATCTCCGTCATCAACCTACCATGTTAATATAAATTTTTTTCTTTTTTTGTTTTAAAAAAGAAAAGAAAACCACTGAACCAGTATAAAAAATAAATAGCAAAGAGCAAACCACTGAACCATTCGAACTAGCAATCAGCAAAGAGCAAACCATAGATTGCTCCAAAACAAATACTCAGATTACTCATGGCAAAATAACAAACCATTACAGTAAACTCATATTCAGAGTCAGATTACTCAAAAATTGAGTTTAAAATTGGAGTCTTGAGAAGATCATAGGAGACGAACCATGAGGGCAAGAAGAGGAGGATGTCCCGCTTGCAATGAGAGGAGAGATGGAGCTCGAGCTCAAGCTCTATCTGGTTATTCACTTTTTGCTGAAGCTAGACAAGGGAAAAGCCGAAGGGGGAAGAGGGAATGAGTGAGGAGAGATAGAGTAGAGCTTGTCAGCTCCAACTCGATTTGGCACCAGCGGATCTGCTTCCCCGAAGATAAAATAAGCAAAACAATTTAGCCCAAACCTTTAATAACCTTGAAGCACTGTACAAACCAATAGCAGGGCCTCAAGTTTAGCAGTCACCTGTCATATTTAACATGGAACTGATTGATCATTTTTCTAAAGATCAGGATCTTCTCTTCTGAAGAAAAGGACTTAGACATTAAAGGAAAAGAAATATATTAAGAAAGAAAAAAAACATAAGCCAGGACGATTCCACAGGCTAAGGGCAAAAAAAAAAAAAAAAACTCCTCCGGTCCTTAATGTAAGACTCATTTAACTAATTTGATTAGATTAAAGAAGTTAGGTAAGTTAGTTAATTATAAGAAAAGTGACACATTTTTCCTAAAACACCATAATCATCTTTCTTAATACCCCATCTCTTTCTTCTACTTGATTATGGTTGAGGGAGTATTTATAAAGGTAATTTAGAGAAAATTGATAAATATAAGAAATGAGTTTTATATTTAGGACTAAAATCAATTCAAGAATTAGGTCCTATATTAAGGACCGGAGGAGTATATATAATTATATATATATATATACACAGAGAGAGAGAGAGAGAGAGAGAGAGAGGCGCACACACGCAAATAAGTATATAAAGGTAAAGTCATGCTTACGAGTACGTAGCAAGCAGTGGTACGGTACCACCAATGTTGAAAGCATTCCACAAAAAATCTACACAGAAATGAAGAAAAGAAAATCATTTATACGATTAGAATACAACAATAAAACAAGCCCTATAGTTTACACCAAGAACTAAGATAAAATTCAGGTTACTTCATCTAGGAGAAGCAACAAAATAAAAATCATTTTCATGGGGGAGTTAATATATTCCTTTGCATTATACAATGATAAAATTTTGTTCAGGATAGCGGAGATTGTGTCATTCTAATTCTTCTAAATAGCTATACATCTAAACCATTGTTGTTTTATAGATTAAAAAGTGTGATCATCGTCAGACTTCAGTTTTATTCATATCATTTTAAGTAGAAATTTAAAAAAATCATAAAAATGAAAATCTCATGCAAAAAGTTTCTTTTACTTCCGTTTCTTCTCTCTCGCATCCAGCATGCAAAAGCATATACTGTCTGCACCCTCAGTCTATTCATAATGCTAAACCACTTGCTTTCTGTTAAGTGTTCTATTTCCATTAAAAAAAATGTTCTATTAGAGAGAGATGAAACCTAATGTGTTGAAAAACTAACCCTACTGATTCACTTTCAGGTTTAGAACCTAACTCGATAGAAATTTATGGGTGATACTGGCAACCAAAACATGTTTAAGTTAAGGCTGCAAAGCGGACCCCAGCATTTATCTTTGCACCTTGCATTAGGTCACTGATAATTAAGTTTATACAGAGCCTTAATACTAGTGCATCGTTGAATCAAAATATGATGCAAGAAGATTAATAGAAAAACCACAGAAACATCCGAATTCAGGTAGAAAAGATATTAAGATAAAACGAAATGCTGAAACAATATGCAATAAAATCAAAGCAAAAAAAAAAAAAAGAAAAGAGCGACAGGTCTTTCTGCCGGAATTGTAGAAAAGAAATACAAGAAGTAGTCGGTAGACTGGACTCGACAAAATTTTCTTTGCTTTTACCAAACCTGACTGAAGCCCTCAAGCAGCGCAGCTGTCCATTAACTCGTGAAGGCTATAGAGATCGGAATCCGTCTTGGCGCGGAAGGTCTGAGGGAAGAGAACTATTTGTAGTCGTTTGACGATCTTGGGGTCCCGCGCCCACCAAAGTCGGCAGTTCGATTTGACCGTTGTAATTAGGGTTTTACTGTGGCGTGTGCAAAATCCGAGCGGAACTCGAAATGGTCCGGTGTAATCAGACTAATGGTGTGTTTGGATGAAACCAAACCGTGGTTTGGAAAAGTGATTCTGGAGAATAGATTCTGTGGAGAATAGATTCTGAGAAAAAGTGATTCTGAGAAGTGAAAGTGTTTGGATAGTTATTACCAGAAGTGCTTTTTACATGTGGAAATTACCAAAAAGGGTATAAGTTAATATGATAATTATATAAGGGATAGATTTTATGATTTATTTTGATTTGAAGAAATAAAATTGTTAATGAAATAATTTTTACTAACATAATTAATAATATATAAGATAATATAATTAATACATAATTAATATGTGTACATATATTTATAAAACATAATATTAAATATGTTTATAGAAAAATGATTTTTTTTATAACAGAAAAATATTAATTTTGTTTAAAGATTGTAAACGTGAAATCCCATAACATTTTTTCACAACTACTTTTTGTAATAACATACTACATGTATAATAACCTCTGATGTTTAATACAATTAATTAATTAATTGTCACCACACATATATATTCATAAAATATAAGAGTGAAAAATATTTTTAGAGAAGATGAATTATTTTGTTGCAAACAGAAAGTCATGTATTTTTCATGAAGATTATAAACATAAAATGGGATGATATTGTTTGATAAAATAGAATAAACACGTCTTAAAATAATTTATTAATTATTCAAGTAAGTAATAATTAGCTTGAGAATATAAGGCATAATATTAATAAGAGAAATATAAATAAAGAAGTGTCATAATCATTAAGATGATGCATCGATACAAAGCATTTGTAATAGGTTTTGTTTTTAACTACATATTACAATCTATGATAAAAGGAAATAAATAAGACATGACTACTATCCTCGTATTGAATTAACAAGTTCGTCTCTTATGCTGTCACGAACCTGAGCCATGTAAGATGAAGATTGAATTGATGAATGTATACGTGAAAATCTAACCCCATCATCATCATCTTCTGCATAAGTACCTTCTTCTTCCAACTGAACGAATCCAGGATCAGTAATAGATGTCATTCTAATAAAATTATGTATAGCCATCGTTGCACAAACGATTTTAACTTGTGTTTCAAAATCATAAGATGGCATGTTTTGTAAGATTGCGAACTTTTTTTTCCAAACTCCGAAAGTTCTTTCAATTGTACTCCTTAAACTTGAATGGAAATAATTAAAGATCTCATTGTCATTTTCAAACCCAGATGTCCTTCGAAAATCAGACAAATGGTAACGCTCCCGTCTGTATGGGCCGAGATATCCATTCGGTGTTGGGTATCCAGCATCCACCAAATAATATTTTCCTATATAAAAAATGAAATTATTGTAAATTATGTTTCTATTGTTAAGCTAAATATAAAAAAATATAGGAAATAAAAAAATACCTTCAGGTGGATGGGGAAAGTTCATTGAAGGAGTTGTGAGGGCATGATCAAATATCCGAGCATCATGTGCGCTACCTTCCCATCCGGCCAAGACAAAAGTAAAACACATGTCCCAATCACAAACCGCCATGACATTTTGTGACACTGTTCCTTTCCTAGAGATAAATTTAGTTTGATCTGTTGCACTGACAACGCAGGAAACATGTGTGCCATCAATTGCTCCAATAGCATGTTTAAAAAAAGGCCAGTATTTACCAAACCGAATTTTTGTATGAACATGCCGGAATGTTGGATCTTTTGGTTTGATATTAGACATGGCAAGTCTACAGCATGCCATTAGGACATTATGAAAATGTCTGCTAATTGTCTCCCCTGAATGTTGAAATCTTTCTTGCTGCATTCTGCTACTAAGTGCATGCCCAACGGTATGTAAAAACATTGCAACTGATTCATGTATCCCTATATTTTTAGTTTCTTTTAGACCATGTTGTTGCAATTGTTCCACCAGACTTAAGAACACATCCCGTTCCATCCTAAACATGTTATAACAACGACTGGAGTTGCCATCTAAAACATCCCTTACCCATATGCAGCCTGTATAAGCACTTGTATGCCGAGGCTCCTTACACAAGTTCAAAGTAGCGTATGCACCAACCAATGCTGCAACTTTGTTAACCCTTTTTTTCCGTCCCTTAGCATGCTCTTCCACATGTTTAATTTCATCATCCATATTCGTTTTATCCTGTGCACATACACATAAAGTTTAGAATTCCTACGTAGAAATTACGAAACATTTATAAAAGTTACAGAGTTGTCTGATTCATATAACAATCCACTGGTCACATAAAACATACACATATGGAACTGTCTAATATAATAAACAAGTCATAAATCCCTAGTATAATGCTCTAAAATGGGTAGAAGTTGTTCCTTCTGATCCTTCAGAGCTGCATACATTTCTCGTGCCTCCGGCCGTTCCATAAGGAGTTGTGTGCACCGTCTAAAGAAATCAGGATCACTGACAACTTCAGGAACTGTTTTCAGGTGAGACAGGACTCCCCTAATTGAAATCTCATAAGCACGCGCTTCTTCTTCCAACCTTCTAGCTTCTGCTCGTGAAATGACCTCATTTCCACGCTCGGCCTCAGAAATATTTGTTTCAGCAATCTTGCTAATTGCATCCGCTATTTTCATAGAGGGAGATGTGCGTTTCTTCTTGACTTCACTCTTCCTTCTAACCCCCAGTGAGCTACTAGGTCGACTCCTACCTCTGCTTGTACCCCCACCACTGGTATCCTGCCTCAATTCAGTGTTGCCTCCACTACCTCCACTATTATCATTGAAGTTCACTGTGTTAAATTCCCCACTTATACCAGTTGGTGCACCTAAAATTTCATCACTATCTCCGGACCCTTCTTCCAAATCTTCATTCGGTGTTCCTTCACTTGGAAGTGTCATGGAAGAAGGTGCCCATGCTTGTGGTCCAGTTGCAGCCACACTTCCAAATAGTTGAGTCAATTGATCCCTAAATTGAAGTCCTCTTTCTCTGAATTTTTCGTAGTTTGGAACTTCCTGCACATTAGACACCAATAATATCATAAAATATTCCAAAAACAGTAAATATACACAAAACATTAACAAGTAGAGAAAAATGTAAGATCAAAAGGTTCAATAATTACCCTTATTTTTCTCTCCCACCAATCATCAGTTGCACTGACAGTATTCCTTTCAGTATCCCATCCCAATCCCGTCTCACGAAGCAGCCTATCCCATGTCTGCCACTCCTTTCGTAGGGAATCATATTTATTC